GCCGGTCGGGCCAGGGCCGCGGGAGCACTGAGCCCCGTCCAGACCCACCGGCCGGCAGCGTCTGCGGACTGCGCAAGGCTCACCTCGCCGAAGGGGCCGCTGGGAGGGGCCACGGGCTGCGTGTCGGCCTCCGGGAGGGGCGTCTGCAAGAAACCGGGAGGTGGCGGGGCTGGGGGTGCCAACGGGCGCCCCGCAGCCCCGGGGTCTCACCTCCAGCACGGGGGCCACGTGCCCCTCCCCAGGCTGGGCGGGGGCCTCGGCCAGGGGCGCGGGCGCCGACGGCGTGGGGCTCCTGCGGGCCTCCTCCTGCTTCTTCTCCCAGTAGTTGCGGTTCAGGTAGCGGGCGAGCTGCAGGGCGGGGCGTCAGTCCCGGGTACCAGGTGTGGGTCCCCCCCCGCCCCCCGGGGTGCTCACCTCAGGGTCGATGTCCTCAGCCAGCGGCGCCGATGAGTTCTGGGGAGACAGGCGAGGGGTCAGGCCACTCTCCGCAGCAGAGTGGACAGCAGGCCGGGCGGGGCCAGGAGAGGCTGGGGCTCCCCCACACGAAAGGGGCCGGGGGAGGCCGCCCCTAGTTCTCACCACAGGGGAGGAGTAGAGGCTGCTGGCCGGGGGCGCCGACGAGGCTGTGGGCGCGGGCTCGGCCTTGGGGTACGCCACGTACGCTGACTTCTGTCTCTGTGGGGGGACAGCAGCACTCGTGCAGCCGCCCCGCCGGCCCCCCCGGCCCCCCAGCCCGGCCCTCACCAGCCGCTCCTTCTCCTCCGCCTCTGACTGGGACAGGGCCAGCGCCAGCTGCAGCTCCTCCTCCTCCTGCAGAGCCGTCTCGTCCCTCTTGGGGGGCAGCTGGGGGGACAGGGTGGTGAGCGGAGCCGGGGGCCGTCCGGGCCTGGCCGCACCCGAGGCCCCGGCTACCTGGGACTGCTGGGACAGGGGGCTGGTCAGGTACTCTGGCGGCAGCTCGGCGGTGGATGCGGCCTTCCCCTCCGCTTTCCTGGGGAGACAGCGCGGTGGGGGCCCCGCCTCCCCAGGACAGGGTGCGCCCCGTCACGCCGGAGGAGGGAGGCTGGCGCCGGGGCCCACGGCGTGCGGGGCCCCGCCCTGACCACCAGGAAGCCCCAAGCGCACCTGGGCGTAGGGCAGGGGGAAGGCCGGCATCTGCGCCCGCATCTGGATGGTCTGCTTCTGCTGCTCCAGGCGCAGCTGGCGCTCCTTCTCCTGCTCCTGCAGGCGCTGGATGGCCAGCTGGCGCTGCACCTCCAGGTACTCCTGCGGGGGAGGCGGGGTCACCTCTGCGCTGCGCCGCGCCGCCCCGCCCCGCCCCGCCCCGCACCTGCTTCTTCTGCCGCATGATCTCCAGCTTCTGCGCCAGCTGGATCTGGCGCTGGCGCTCCGCCTCCTCGGCCGCGCGGCGCAGCTTCTCGCGATGCTCCTCGCGCAGGGCGCTCAGCGCCCCCCGGGCGTCGCGGATCTGCGCCAGCTTGTCCTGC